ACAGCAGCGTGACAGGAAGAAGACGTGGGGGTTTAGCAAGTGCAAAATGTATCTAAAACAACAACCGTAATGAAAAAAATATTGTTTGTTTTAAATACCAAGCTACTGAGCTGCTACAATCAGTTAAGCAATTCAATTTAGTTAAATTAAGATTTCTTTTTGAGAACACTTAATAATCTACAGTATATATATATACTTTTTTTTTTAAAAGCAGATCCCTTCTATTGTTAAAGGAGATATTTTGCAGGACCTTAGATACAAAGGCAAACATTGCCTTTTGCTACTTAGAACAAAGTAGCAAAGTGTTCTTTGTTCTTTGTTCAGAAGAGTAACAAACTTCTGAAGTGTTCAGAAAATTGTATTCTTTGGTGTTTCTGTAAAGTGTTAGTCTGTAGCTGGTCTGACAGGCCTGAGACAGCGTGTTCTAAACCATAGTATACCTCAGACCAAACACCACAAAATCAGCCTGCTTGTGGATGTGCAGTTCAGTTTTCATTGATCTGATTCGGCTTTGCATTTATTACTTCATTACCAGCGAATATTGGGCCTGAAAGAGACAGATCAACAGCTTTCTAGGACTGTCTGCGCTCCCGCGTGTGAGAGTAGAAACAGGTGACGAATACATGGCACGTATTGCAAAAGTAACAAATGCAGTGTGAAAAACTCCAACATTTCTGTGTGTTTTTTTATAAATGAAACGATATGCAGAAGTGTATTGCAAACCCAACACCTACAAATTTAATACCTAGTGTTTGAGAACAGGCTCCTGTAAGTTAGAGGGATGATGACAAAGTCACCATTAAGATAAGAGATTTGAGATTCTCAGGGGGCCTTTTGATTTAATTCAAACTCTAGATTTTTTGTTAAATATGTTTTTTTTTCTTCCTTCCATTTAAGAATTCATATTAGATTTTGTTTTACAAACTTTTACAGCTGTGAGGATTGCAATTTGATAGAAGCTCTCTGCGAGTCGTTGCTTTGTTTTAACTTACATCTTCTGATCATGTACTGCAACTTGTATCCGGTCGGTCTCTCGACACAGACTGAGTGTTGTATCGATCAACGAGGGAACTTCAGGGCAGCTGTCTTGGTCAGCTGAGGGTTGTACTTTGCCCTCTGTGCCTCCTGGGAGCCTGAATGCATCAGTGTGTGCTGGTTATATTGTGAGCATTCATGCGTTAATTAGGTTGTGTGCTGTCAAGATAAGCAGATTCCATTTGGAGCTTCCAAAAGTAACCATGTGCTGACGTAGCTCTGGTAATGTTGAATTCCAGTTCCATAGCCAGATCTGGCCAGCATCACCCCTTTTGCAAAAAAAAATAGTTGCGATAAGTTTTCTTATCGTACAACCTCAAATATGTTTTGCAGGTCTTGTTCACAGCAATACAATGAAAGAATAATAGTACAGATGAAGTGTTTCTCCCTGTTTGTCAGTGTCACAATCATTCCTGCAGATTACTAGGCAGCATGGCACGGGGAGATGGGATAGCTTTCTGCCTACAGGTGAGCTTGTCGTATTCATAAAAACAGGAGTCAAAGCTAATATACTGTACCATGGCTCTTACATGGCGGGCCTGTTACAGACTTTGTCCACTGTGTTCTTTCAAGGCCTTCCCATTTCAGCCAAGGTGCTCAGTAAAGGTGTGTCCCTTCAATTATTTTAAAGATCTTCGATTTCTGAAATTGGGTTTTATGCCATAATGGATGTACAGTAGGTAAGTTATCATCAAATGGTATTCATTCTAAGCTTTTCTATCAATTAGACATGTAATGTAGTCATCTCTCAAGATAGTATACCTAAAAATAGTCTTAATGGGTGTCATTACAAGACATCATATTCAAAATAATCTTGAGAAGAACAGACATAGAGAGGTGAAATTATTTTTCTGTCTATATACTTTAATAGCCATGCATATATATGTGTATATTTCTATATCTATTTGAACTAAATGTACTGCAGTTGATTTGGTTCTGCCTCGAATGTGTACAGTGTGCGAACCCTTGTCAGGGGCTTCGGATGTATTTCCTTCTTTGCTGATGACGTTTTTGTGTGTTTGAGAAAAGTGGGACTCAGCTTCAGTAAAGGCCTGTCACATCGGATCTGATATCAGGAGAGACCAAGTGTGTCTCAGGGCCACATCATAAAATCTGACAGCTTTGTTTTACAGACTCCTAAGTGGTTGTAAATATGGTTGTCAATTGTGCTCTGTGGCAAAAAAGGGATAAGTACTGCTAAAAGTTTGTGTTTACATTTGATTACTCTTTAAATACCTTCTCTTCACCATTTAATGTCAGAATTAGATTACCAGATGCTAATTATTTTAACCATGTTAAGTACTTAACTACTCAGATTTATACAGACTGAAGGGAAGAAAGAGGTGTAATTCTCAGGTACAAGGTTCAATCATCTCTGTTTCGCTATTAAAAAAAAACTACTTTTAAAGGTTTCAATTTATGAGTAACATGACAATATCTTTTAAAGATGTAATTAAAAAAAAAGATTTGCAGTAGTGTCTTGCATCATACTAGAGAAAATGAAACAGAGATGATTGAACCTGGGACCTACTGTAATATCCTGTTTGTTGGCTTTTTTGATCACCAGCCTCACCGACCTGTATTAAAATATGAACTAAACAGGGAACAAAACTCACTTAGATGTTGAGCAAATAGAACTGGATGGCGATGACAAAAGAAGGGCGAGGGGGTGGTAGAAGATAGAAATAAAACAATAGAAATTTAATTACATACTTCTTATCTGTGTTGCTCCAGGGTTCTTGTGACACAGGGATTAGTCATAGGAGAAGCCTTTCTTCAATTTATGTGGAAGAGGTCTGAGGTTTTTTAGATTCAGTTACCCGATGATAACTACAGTATGTAACTATTTAGAGCTGTTTGCCAGAGGTTATCCAGACTTTCAGTTCTCGGTAAATATATTATTATTTGCATCTGCTGCTCCTCTTTTAAACCTTAGAGCATCTGTGAGTTGTGGATTTATAGATTCATAGAACGCTAAAAAAAGCATGTTGAACACGGGTTTTGAAAGTTGTGTTTCTTCAGGGTATATAATCTTGATGAAAGCCTGTTACAACGTTTCTTTTGGTGGGCTGGATGTTTTTTTAGACTCTCGTGGCAAACAATATGCAAAAGCTGTAGGTGGGACTGTAATTATACCACCATAGATCTCAAAGGTGACGTGAAGAACAGGCAGAAGACTTGAATCATTTTCCACGCCTAGAACAATATAGCGCAGGTCTTTTGAAACAAATCCAGAATTGTTCATGTTTTTCCATGAACAGCTCACGGATGATTCACAGGGCAAAGGCAAGCAAACAAGACACGAAACAGGCATGAACTTCAAGTTAATTGTATAAAATATACTTCAAGAATTTTGAACCAAAAATCAGGAAGTTTATATGAATTAATACAAGAACTAATTACCTAAAGAGTGCATCAGGAGCTTTATATAAACACTCATTTAAAACTCACAAGCAGTTCACAACCAGGAGGATGATCCATTAAGTTGTCAAACATTCATCGATATTTATAGACTGTTCTGAAGTTGTGGTACAAAACACTGTGTACTAAATCCTGACAAATAAACCTTGATTTTGAAAAATCACCCTTTAACTTCACTTAAAGACTGATTTGCTATAGCATGACACTGTTGAAACTGCAACTCAGGACAAGAGAATTTGTCTGTTTTGATGGAATGCTATTAAATTAAAAGCTCACTTAGACAGAATCTCTCTTTCTTGTATGAGGCTTAGCCCCAATTGTTTCCCTAGTGGGCTCTTACTCATTGATAGGTCTTGTCAGTTGCTAGGTGACTCAGCTGAAACGGCTAGGAAAGGGCTTTTTTTACTGACAGCAAAGCTCAGCATACTTAAAATACCATTATTAAATGTCATAAAGGAAATTAAACCAGTTTCAATAATGGTATAAAAATTGATTGCAGACTATTGCTTCTCTTTCTCTTGTACTCTCTCAAGTAGTGTCATTATCTAGGTTATCCAAGGTACTGTGCACTCGTTGTTTTGTATATTCACTCCAATGCTGTACTTTAGTGGATTCGCTTTATATAAGTGATGATTGTAGTGTTTTTGAAATGATCTTCACCTATTCATTCCATGCCCGCTTAAGATATTTCTGACCCCGCAGCCTCAAGCTTGAACTTGGGGAAACCCTGAAGGGCCGATAATTTCGGCATCTTCAGCCTGTCTGGAAATTGGTCACGTGTTGCAGAGCTCTCTGTCACCACAGCCATTGCTGAATGAAGAGAGCAGGGAATGTGCAAGGAAGGGAGATCCAGTGAGACAGAAAGCCGCATATGGAGAATAGTACCACAAGGTCAATTAGAAATCAGCCTAGTGAAAGGAAGGCATGTCTGTGAATAGGTACTGATTTCTTCCGATTTGTAACATTAACTTCAAACACTCTGCTCATAATCAGATAATAACATTTCCAAGTTCTTATTTTTAAGGATATTCAAGTTATTATATTTTGCTAAAACCAAACAGGCTTTCTAAAATACATACACAGGCTCCTGGAACATATATTTGGATTATTCAGCTATTTTGTATAGCTTGAACCTGTTTATTGTTAGTATCTCGTTCCCATGAATACATATTGGAACCTTTGGAGCACTGTATATAGGCTGTTTAGACATCACAAAATAAGAATTGACTATTTTGTGTTATTTGAATGTCCTTATGTGTGCAGCACTCGTTGTTCTTCATCTGTGATGAACATACCTCAAATCCAAGAATAATCCAATAAACATTTTACAGTGGTCCCTGCATTATTAACAATTGCCAGGTTTTATGTGTTAATGTGTAGGGTTGTCGTGGTAAAGGCTGATGTTTTCCTGCTTGGTTTGTCCACTTCACATGCCCAGCCAGAATGTCAGTCCTGGGGGGAGGAACGGCAAAGTTTTGGGTTTTTGCTTAGTGTCTGTTTTCTTTTTCATGTCATCCAACTTGCTGTTTTGTCTCCTCTCTCAGGCTCATATCCTTCAAGAAGCCCCGATGGAGCAGGATGTGGAAAGCCCAATCACCATCAGACACCCCAAGCTGCCCAAGCAAGCCCGAGAGGACCTACCCAAACAGCTGGTCGAGAAAGAGAGAACAAGAAGGAAGATCCAGCGATACGTGCGCAAAGATGGGAAGTGCAACGTGCATCATGGGAATGTGAGGGAGACGTATCGTTACCTGACAGACATCTTCACCACACTGGTGGATCTCAAGTGGAGGTTCAACCTCTTCATCTTTGTCCTGGTCTACACAGTGACGTGGCTTTTCTTTGGCATGATCTGGTGGCTCATAGCCTACATCCGAGGAGATCTGGACCACATAGGGGACAACCAGTGGACACCGTGCGTCAATAACCTGAATGGCTTTGTCTCTGCCTTTCTGTTCTCAATAGAGACAGAGACCACCATCGGGTATGGCTACAGAGTCATCACAGACAAGTGTCCAGAGGGCATCGTGCTGCTCCTGGTTCAGTCAGTGCTGGGGTCTATCGTGAATGCCTTCATGGTGGGATGCATGTTTGTAAAGATCTCCCAGCCCAAGAAGCGGGCGGAGACGCTGGTGTTCTCCACCAATGCCGTCATCTCCATGCGGGATGGCAGGCTGTGCCTCATGTTCAGGGTGGGGGACCTCAGGAACTCACACATTGTGGAGGCCTCCATCAGGGCCAAACTGATCAAATCCAAGCAGACCAAGGAAGGGGAGTTCATTCCCCTGAACCAGACGGACATCAATGTGGGCTACGACACCGGGGACGACCGGCTGTTCCTGGTGTCCCCCCTCATCATCTGCCATGAGATCAACCAGCATAGCCCCTTCTGGGAGATCTCCAAAGCCACCCTGGTGAAGGAGGAGCTGGAGATCGTGGTCATTCTGGAGGGGATGGTGGAAGCAACAGGTAATCTGAAAACCCCCTCATGCAAGCCTGTATTCACAGTCGGCTCCCGCACGTGGGTTCATACTCTTGCAGAGCTGTTTTTTTTCAGGCTAGCCAGTCCTTTCAGGACAAGTGATAATGCAGCCAGTTTCAATTACCACAGTTTTGACATTATAATAGTCTTTAAACCATTTCAATTGAAAAACAGGTGCATTTAATTTTCACAAAGCGAACAATTAATCGCCCATTTCCACTTGGAAAAACTGCAGATTTTACTAACTGGGACTTCGTGTTTTTCCCAGGATGTATTCCGCATAGTAAAATTTGACATCACAGGCAGATAATTATGCAATCAATAAAATCCAAAACGACCAGCAATTGGATGTTTCTTTTAGCTTAGTTGCTTTTTTGTTTTCAACCTAATATGTATTAATGTCACAAATGCAAGATTAATTTGCGGTGTGACCCTGTTAAATAACAAATGGACAATATGACGAAAGGATTCTCGAATATTTGTTGATATGTATAGTTTGTTCAGAACAATAAATAGTACTAATGAAATTTTTTAAATGAAAGATCTATACTGGCATAGCACTGTATTAGCCATTTCTGAGGAAAAGATCTGATGTGCAGTACTATGACCTTTCAAACAGAGAGTCAGGTATGCACTGATGAATGGGGCTTTTGTGAGGTTATGAGGTTCGTAATTGCTCATGTTAGGCAATGCAAACAGAATTGAATTTCATTCTCAGTATGGAAAGGCAGGTGTACTCCTGATTGTACCGTGTGCTATTATAAACAGTACCTCTGAACAGACTTGTGCCTGATTAAACAGATAATAAAATCCAAGATTATTACAACTGGGGAATGAAAACTCCAAACCAGGAAGCTGGGATGCAGTGTTTAAGGTCCAGTATTATGGGATCATTCAGTGCGTCGTCTACTGTAGGTCTACTTTATATATTTTCAGCACACACAGAGCACACACAGAGCAACGTGCTGATATCTCCTTTTTATATGCTGCCTCAGATTGATGCTGTCTGCCTTTAGTTGTTCTTTAGTGCTTGGATTTCACTCTGTGTTTATTGTTAACAGAATTCTGTGAGTCTTCTGTGTCTGTGTCAATATGAAATTGCAATCAAGTCCAAGTAATTTAATCCACTTCAGTTTCATGGTCTAATTACTTCAGTACATTATAAATTATCATTACTCCCCAGTCGTTATTTTGTATAGTAGTATGGGAAGGAACTTGTGGTCCCCATGTCTCTATTACCACTGTAATTCTTTAGGAAAGTTGGGATGAGGGTTGTAATTCCTCATGTAAGTGCAGAGAAAGAATGATAGGAGTGGAAGAGAGCAGCTGACTGTATGCCATCTGCAGGTTAGTCACTTTGCATTAGTTCAAAAGGAAACGCAGAGCTGCTTTTCTAGCACGGTGGGCCATGTCAGCACAAAGATAAGCTTTGTACAGACGCCAAGTGAAAAGTTATAATAGGCAGGATGACATTTGTTCGAAGTGTTTGTAACTCTGAGGCTTGAGGTAGGCTGGTGTTCGTAGTAAATGTTTGCCAGACGGGTTTTATATGTGTTGATGATTTACAGACGAATACCTGAACAATATGAACGGATTGAGAGCTGGAAACAGGCTTACTTAATATAAATAAATAAAACATTTTCTGTAGTGAATTTAGCCAATCATCATGTAGCATGTAGTTCTATATGCAGCTCTGTGACTGTTACTCAAATTGTTGATTTAGTTGTTGATTGTTGAATTACTGATGGGTTTAGTTTACAGAGGCTCTGCAGAAAATATATACAGTGTTTATGCAAAATGCAAGCATTCAGATACTTCTAAATAATGTGTACATGTGTATTGGAGAAAAAAAAACATTTGAATTGCAAAATCCATTCTCCTCTCAAGTCCTGCTTTTCATTATTGCTTGCAGCCTTGTGTATTTCAATGTACTGTATAGTATTACAAAGGATTTGTCTGGTCTTGAGGGTATCATGTGAGAGACAGTGGCACAGCAGATTTCCTGTGGTGGTTTTACACACGAAACACAGAGATCTGAAATTAAAATTGGAGGTAAATATAGATGCTTCCCTGGAAACTGAGGTGCCTCAAATCCTAAATGTCAATGAGGAGGTTTCAGCCAAATCCTGAAGCCAGACAAGAGCCCATCTTTCTTTCCATACCTAACGTGCAAAAAAAAAAAAAAAGATGCAAATTCCCTTTCTGCAAATACGGACGCTGGTGTGTCGAATGTTATTCCTGTTGCCATTTTTTTCCCCAGCCAGCTTCCAGACTGATGACTGACGAGTTCATCTGCCGCCTTTGTGTCCAGTATCAGCTGATTTGGATTAATTAGTTCAACGAACTGCAAAGAGTCAGCTTCCATGCCTGTCGTATTGCCTTCTTTTTCCTCCTGAAATTTTCAAGTTGATTCCTCTGAGGGTGGTCAGCACTTTGATGATAAAATGGCAATAAAAAAAATGAATGCCATTGCATTAGGTGTAAAATGTTTTATCATGTCTGCGCTCAACACGGAAGTATCCTTAGGGTGCCTGTGGGCTTTCACAACAAAAGGTGTTTCACTAAACTATGATACCAAGTAATGTAATGAGGCAGTAATAAAAATGATCTTGTGGGCATTTCCTTATGGTTTTCTTCTTTCAAAAGCAAGTGTTAAATAACTGTTTTCTAGCAGCCTAGAGCCCCTGCCTCTGAATTGGAACAGATGTAGATTCTTTTATGCTCTTCACCTTTGAGCTGTTGCTACCTACAATAAAATTGACATCGGAACAATCTATTTCTGTCTCTCCCAGGCCTTGGAGTCTCATCAGATGTGAGACTTAAGACTGCTTGTGATGCTCTTTCTGATCTATCTTGAAATGGTAAAATCATTCGAAGATTGATAAAGCAATAACTGGCTTGGCCTTAAAAACACTGAGCAAAAGGCAGCTCAGCAAGTCTCTATGTGCAACACTACATAAAACACAGCACCAGCTATTTTTAGACTTCACAACCTGTTGTCATGGTGGACCTGTCATGTATGTGGTGAAATCTGGGCCTGAGCTCATACTACTGTTCAGAAATGGTTATATATTTTTATATCTTCATATGTCTTTCCCGGGAGTTAACGATATCATTAATAAATATGTTTAGACAAGTCATTTTCTTTTTCATTTACAAAAAGGTTCAACTAAAATCAGTCATAGCACTTTAGAAACAATTCTGATTTTATCAGATTAATCAGATTGTTTTGTTTTTGTTTTGTTTTCTTTGGCATAGATGGCTTGATAGTTGGAAAAGGAAAACTCTCTTAGTAGCGTTTTTGTGCTAGGAACTATAGATTTTGTCTATAGCATTATGTCCTTATCTGTTGAGCCTCTCAGATTTCCTTCTTTAACTTTTAGAGCATGCTTTTTAGTCAAAAACAAAGGTAAGTGTCAAAATGTGTAGTTTCCTGCTATTAGATGCAAAAGCTGTTTTACTGATAAGAGACCCAATTTAGTTTCATTAACTCCGTTGAATTGGTTGAGACACTTTTGCAATAAGATATCATGATTTTGTAAAGTTTTTTTTTCTTAACAAATTATATTCTAAGTATTGGCAGCAAACTGAAATTTATCAGCTGTTTACCTTCTGATGTTGGTATTAGTTAAAAATGGTTATATGGTTAAATGTGAAATTAATTCAGTCTCTTTACAGTCTCCCAGAATTAACAAGTAAGTAAGAGTTTATGGTTTAGGACCTGATGCCATTTAGACAACAAAACAGGTCCAGCAGTGAGTTTCAAGCATTTTCTAACCTGCAGGTCTTTTCATTTTTGAAATGTTCCACGGGCTGCCTTCAAGAACAGTCCAGAGCCTTATCTGATGGATTGGTTTCAAATCCAGCATTTATCATATTTTGCTACCCGACAACTTGTGAAGGGTGTTTGGACATGAGACAAAATGACAGGAGTGTGCAATGCATACTTTTGATTTGACTGCTGTGTGTCTTAAATTTTTATCTGTTGTTACCTCCATCACCTTGAAGGTGGTCTCCATGTAATTGACCACCACTCTGAGATTCAGTCTGACTGACTGACCTCTCTACATCCTATCTAACATCACAGCAGGGTGTTTTTGTAGTTTCCGGATTAAAAGGCCAACCCCTTTAAGATCTTCCCTAGTTTATTGCCAATTCTTTTGCTCTTTTGTGTAAGAACTGGTTTTGTGGCGGTAGCATAAAGATGTAATGAAAGTGTACTTTTTAACGTGCTATTGTGTCTCACTCTCCCAGCCATGGTCTGTTCTAAGAACTACAGTGGGTGGCACTGAGTTGTATGAAATTTAAATTAATTAAGAGCTTTTCATTACGTCCGCATTAATGCAAGCACTCCTACATTATATCTCTAACAATCCACAGAGTAAGTGGATTGAAACACCTACTAACTGATGAAAAACCCTTTTTTTCTTTTATGAGTTAAACTGTCCCCCCCCCCGATAACGTCAACACAAAACCATCAGATGATGCACATTTTCTGATGTTGAAGCAGTCAGCCAACGACAACAGCTACAACACCGACAAAAAAAAACCAAAACAGAGGAAATAATTCAGCTTTCTTTATGGAAGGCCATTGTCAGTTTTTCAAAATGCCTGCAAAGGCCTGACCGCATGGCCCAAGCAATGACTCGGTAAGACAAGGCCAAAACTCCCTTCATTTTTCACAGACTGTGTGCTTTAGTTCTACTGCCCTGTAAAGCTAAATCAATTGGACCTTCCACGGCGTCTCTCTGTCTCCTTCTAGAATCAGGATTATGTTGCTCAAGTTCTCATCTGAACATAAGGTATGGTTGCTCAAGGGATTGAAATTGATTGGCAAGAAGGGGTCAGTGGAGCCTAGTGCAGGAAAATAATCCCCCCAGCTTTCATTTTTCAAGCGGTGCCTAAGTAATGGCTCACACAGACGCTGGCAGCAATTACAGACCATCAGCCTCTTCCGCTGCGACGTGTGACGGAGGGGCGGTCAGAC